CCTTATATACATTTAATTTTATTTTAAATAATTATTTATTTTTTTAAAAAAATGATTCATATTTTATTATTGTGCATTTTTTTATTTATTGTTGTTGGTGCCATTTTTTATTATTGTTTTGGAAAGTTCATCTTCAAGAAAAACAACCGTTGCCCTTGCCGTTGCTCTACCATTAAAGGGGAATACTGCCATCATTGTGCCTTTAATTCCGATTTCAGGGATAAGGTATATGTAGAAAGTCTACATCTTGGATACGATCATAGAAACTATCGTGACAGACTAGACGGAATACACTCACTTGAAAGATTTATGCTCTATGATGAACAAGTACAACAAAATCTAAGACTATACCAACAACAAACAAAACAACAACAACAACATGAACTACCATATCAACAACAAATGAACCTAGAACATCACCAGATAATGCAACTACGTCAACAACAACAACTAGAAAAACAACAACTATACCAACAACAAGAACAAGAAAGACAAAGACAACAACAATATCAAAGATTTCAACAAGATTTTCTATTTTATCAAATTCAACAACAACATCTTCAACAACTAGAACAACTACATCAACAAAAGCTACAAAGACTACAACAACAAAAACAACAACATTTTTTTTGGAGATACTTTTAAGTAATTATTTCTTAAAAAAAATTCTTTAGTTGATGTAATATTAGTTGTACCGAACAAATGTGCATGTGTGCTTATTCTAGGTAGTAAGCCAATTAAAAACAAGATAGAAATCAAATCAATAGAAAATTAAAAGTAATTAATGAAGAGTTCAAGTAGTTGTTTGTAATTAATGTGTTAAACCATCTCGTTGTATTTGCTAAAGTAATTCACCATTCATTGCCACCGTTGGTTCTCAAAGATGATAGAAAGACATGTTTCGCTATAGAGTAGTTCAGTAAAAAGAAAAGTATTGTGCAATTCCAAAGAGTTTTGAATATTATGGAAGTAGAAATAGATCGTTTATTAAAAGCAACCCCAATCAATATTACTCCAATCATTTTTTCAATGGTAAAATCACAATTTTCTGATGATTTATTCCCAAATTCCATTTCAACTAAACCATATTTAGTAAGTATATTTAAAATTTTTTAAAAAATTTAAAAAAAAAATTGATTCTAATTTTTTTTAATAGTCTTCAAAAGAATGGTTATCAGGTGAAAATAATGTACCAATTTCAATGAGTTTAAATCAAATTGATAATCAAGTTGAAGATTTTGATGATTTATCAGTTTCATCACCATAATAAGAACCAGAAAAGAAAATAACATTTTTCAAATAACTATAATAATGAATTATCAGCTTCAGAAAATTTACAAGAAGAACATGAAGAAAAATCATCACCCAGCATCACCAATTGACTCATCATCTTAAATACAAAAAGAAAATATTCATCGTACTGGCTATGTACCAAAAGTTGTAAGAACTCAACAAAATAATAAAGATGAAGATAAAAATGAAGAAGACCTTTTAGATTTTGAAACGGATTAATATTGAAATCGAAGGCGATTAAATTAATAGTTTTGATAATTCATTCTATATTTCTTTTTAAGAAATAGATGAAGACCAAATTATTAATAAAATCGTTTCATTCTATGTTTCAATTATTAAATCGCTAAATTTAAGAAAGTCAACTTCATCATCCAAGAAACAAATCACATCTTTATCAACATTTCTAATAAGAATAGCTCCAGTTCTTCCGCAAGCAGGGGTCAATTGAAAAGAAGAAATAGATTTTAAAGTGGCATTATCCAAAGAAAAAGATGGAATAAAAAACTAAATTAACACCTCAAGTATTGTATATGGTTTGGAACCCAGAATTTCCTATAATATCAATATAAATTAATATTGAAATTTAGTTGTATATTACTCTAATAGTACAAGATAAATTTATTTGAATCTCAAGTAGAACAAGCAGTTCATTATAAGAAGAATAGAAAAGAATTGAAATCAAAAAATAGTATAGTTTTAAATCTAATTATTTTCCAGGATTAATTCAAATGATAAGTAAAATTTTCAATTCTTTTAAAAAAAAGAAAATAAAATACAAACAATTATTATAATTTAAAATTTTAAACTAAATAAAATAAAAAAAATTATTACTGTATTATGTAATATAAATTTTTGATATTTTTAATAAAAATTATTACTACATTATTTAATATAAAGTTTTGATATTTTTAATAAATTTTATTTTAGACAACTATTACTTTTTTAAGATATAATATTATATTATTTTAATTAAAATAATATATTATTTTAATTAATGTTTCAGTATTTGTTGAAAAGCTGATAGGAACAACCAATAGAATTGGTTAGTATTTTTTTTAAATTTTTTTTTTTTTTTTTTTTTTTTTTTTTTTTTATTTAAAATATAAAAACAAAAATATTTACAAAAAAAAAAAAAATAAAAAAACAAATATATGTAAATGAAAAGAGTGATAAAAAAAAAAAACAAAATATGTTATTAAAAATAATTTATTTTTAAAAAAAAATTAAAAAAAAAATAAAAAAATTAATTTTGAGTTTTTTGAATTTTTTTTTTTTATTTTATTTATAGACCATCATATACTGAATGTATTATTATGGTACATAATGAGGTATATATAATTACAAAAGTTTTGCACTACCTTCTGTCTATCAGTTAAGAGTTGCTGAATAAAAAAGTAAACACATGTATTAACTATTTAAATTAGTAATTATAATACAGGCAGATGAATATATTTATAAAATCTAGAGGTATTAAGCTTTTTTTAGGTACTAATAGAGATGTAAATTTAATTAGTTTACTATACGAAAAGAAAAAAGAACAGCTACACATGTTTGATTTAGTAGAATGTGCATACTATTTAGATAATATAGAAGCATTGGAGTATTTCCTATCAATGAATGTACCAACATTTTTACCAAACTACACAAATAATAATAAAAGTTTTTCAATATCATCAATTAAATCATTAGAATTACTATTAAAATATCGAGTAAATATCATAGAACCTTATAATATCAATATCAATAATAACAATAACAATAATAACACAACATCAGCTTCAGCTTCATCATCACCATCATCATTCAGTTTAAACAATAGTAATAATAATAATTATACAACAGTAACATTAGCATTCAGTTTAAAAAATAGTAATAGTAACTATAATTTAAATAGTAGTATTAGTGAATATAGCAATCTAAATAATAACAGTACCAGTTTAGCCCGAAGCGCAAGTTGTAGTAGTATAAGCAGTTGTAATAGTAATGATAGCAATATGAGTAGCGGTAGTAGCGGTTGCAACAATAAAAACAGTAATAGCTTTTTAATTAATAATGGTAATATAACACTTCCACCACCATCATTATATAGAAATTTAAATAAAGAGAAATTTAATTAAAGAGGAATTAAAATCACCACCAAATTATATACTACTACATTTAAAAACATAAAATATCGGTAATATTCAAGAGACATTAGATAAGTTTCATTCAAACATAGAGGACCACCCAAAGATTACTATGAAGCAAAAAAGAAATATCTCGAGTATTCAAATATTGAAGATATAGAAAAACTATTTAGAGCAATCAGTACATATTCTGCA